GTGACAGCGCACGGAGATGCATGCTTGAACAGCGCAGCCTCGTGCTCTAAACGCTGGCGACCGCCCCAGGCTCGAACGTACAGCTTCGTGCAGCTGTGTGCACGTCAGAACGTGCGATGAGCCTGAATAGTCCGCTGGACGTCTTCAAACACATTGCAGAACACCACCGAGTCCTCAACAGCAGACACCAAATTTTTACAGCTCTGTTGCTTCGCCATGTCGGTCCAGCAGCGTGACGAAGAGGCACCGGTCGCATCCGTCCGAGCTTGAAACCTTCGAAGCCAATCTGTAAAACCGCAATCCTATAGAGCTTTAAACAAATTCTTGTTCAGCTGGTGTCAAGGCCACAAGGCAGCAGGCCATGACCTTCCATTTTTAGTTGTTAGGGGTTTACACTCGTTTAGGGTTCCAGGATTCCATGGCTGGACAGGGTCGTGCTGAAGCGCCGCGGGGAAACGTTGCGAAACCTGACTGACTCATTGTAGGTTCCTCCTAGCAGGAAGATGTTGGCCCGGCATCTCAAGCCTCTGAACCTTGTAAATGCCCTACAAGCCTTGAGAGTTCGACGACCGGAGAATCTTGACCCCCGGTCCTTACAAGTTCTCCAAGATTCGAGTTTTATCCCAGAAGCAGCTGTTCCCTCGTTCATCCTCAAAGGTATGGCCACCATAGGTCATGAAAGCTGTTGAAGCAACCCTGGCTCAGTCTCTCGGAACACCCTGGAACCTATAAGCCCCAATCGCCAGGCCCCCTTCATGCCGGGGTGCCGGGGCGCGCAGTGCATAAAGGCGCTGATCTTCGTTCCGTCAGGGCTTGTGCTTTCTTCTAGGGCTTGGACTGAGGATTTTCATGCGGCTCCATAGGGCTATGCGGCTGTGCGTTGGGAGCTGGTCGTTCAAGTCTTCAAACCCTGAGCCCAGAAAAAAGAAAGGGTTTGCTGTCGGTTTCAACGGGTTGAATGGAACATCCCGGGCAAGTCAGGCTGTGTCTTGAAGCCTCGATTCACAAAGAGAGAAGAGAGATCGGAGCTCTAGGGGTTTAAGATGGTTTAAGGTTCGAGGGCATACAAATCTGGATCACGTTGGGTGCGCAGTGCGCAACCCCATGTCTCATGCCTTGACTCCATGCCCCGGGCCCCCCCTTTTTTCCCCAAACGCTTAGCGCTCCGGACGAGTCTCTGAGGGTGTCGTCCAACGAATGCGCCGCCGACGCGCCGATCGCCGTGCGGCGAGAGCTGCCCCAAACTCCTCGGACCGGGGGTTTTGTGCATTTAGCGACGACAGGGTCCGGTCATGTCCGGTGTACGTTCCGCGGGTCTCAGGGAATTTCGCGTGTTCGCCCTTCGGGCTTAGGGTATTTAAGGGTTGAATTTTGATTTTGAGGGGTTTGGGATTGACGTTGGCAGGCGGTTCGTTCTCTCTCTTGAGTTGCAAGTGTACACAGACACTACCTATGTGGCAGGTTTGAGGTATAGGCGTAGGCCCTAGGCCCATACGAGTAGCCTCAGACTGGCATCTGCTTGTCACATGGCACAAGTAAGAGTCAGCTGGCTATGCTGGCGCGGGCAGTTTTGAGTGGCTGCTGCTCACTTTTGGGTTTGGAGCTTAGGGCTTAAGGTCTTGCAGAATCAGCGCTTGCCTGAGGACATTTGTGTATCAGATTATTTTGCAAACCCGTGTTTTCTTCGTTCAGCAGCGATGTGCTGGACTTGACTGCACTACAGCATGCTACTGCCAGGTGCTTATGCAAGCATAAACTTATAAACTGTCTCTCTAGGGATATTGACCCTTGCACCTCTCCGGTCTGATTAACAAATGCTTGCAAAGTGGCAAGAGGCAGGAGCGTATGCTAGAATTGCTATGCGCCTGCTGTCCCGAACGACAGCACTCCACAGGAGCCTGGCCGGGATGCTCTTGTTGCAGGCCGAAGCAGCAGCGCCCCCCAAATTTCCCCGAAGCCGAAGTCGCGCGGATTCCGGGGATGAACAGGACATGTCCGATCGTTCACGGCTGGGTTTGGGAATCTTGAGTGCTCGTACCGTGGTGGGCAAATGCATGTGGCATCTTCACAGAGGCCGGGTTATTCCAGCTTTGGCGGCTTGGGAGTTTTGCTTTGTTTTCGTTGTGGAATGTTGGATGCAGGCTTCCCGCACTCGGGTCAGGGGGGTCGGATGTCTGTGTCATTTTTGTCTTTTCCCTCTCTGACTCTCTCTCGCTCTGACTCGCTCCCTCTCTCTCTCTCTATTTACTGTTGCGTGCCTGAGCTGAAGGCTCTTGCTGAGAGGGTTCTGCAGTTCTGCTTGCATGCTTCGAGAATCTTCCAGGCCTGCGTTCTTCTGGTGGGCCTACACCCAAAAAGCCCCAAGCCCTATAGGCGAGAGATTTGCGAGTCTGCGGGTGTAAAATTAGGCGTTCAGAGCGAAGCTGCGATGCAGCAGGAGCGGTCGAGAATGTTTGCAACCGCGTGGACCAGGCAGCGAAGTTGCTGCCATGCTGGACCCTAGCCCTAAACCCTAAACTTCCTAAACCGGATAAGCATCCCGAAGCCCCAAGCAGCCCTATGGCTACACCCGAAGACGGGGCATGACGGGGCAAGCCCTGGTCCGTTGGATCTGCGGCGTTCGTGCTTCGTGGCTTACGGCTTGGCTTTTGGGGTGCGTGGAAGGGCAGTTTCTCGGGCAAGCCGCGAAAAGAGGGACAGCTCGGTGTTTTATTTGTCCTCTTGCTGGGGGCGGATAGTGGCTTAGAGGGGCTTTTGGGCGATTGGGGACTCTATGCACCAGATGGGCTTTTATCCGGCGGAGCTTCGCCGATTCGCTTTTGAACAGTGTACACCTCTCCGGACTTCAAGCCCTCGGCACCAAAAGTACGTGCGCGGGACCCCACCGCCCCCCGCCCCCCCGACCCCCCCTCCTACTAACCCTATAAGCCAACCCTTTCACACACCTCGAATGCGGCCAGGATGAGTCTTGGCAGGAGCGCCGGCCTTGGCGGAGCTTTTGGCCTTCTTCCGTGCTCGAGCACCCCCGAGCTCTCCGAAACCCCTCATCGCCCCTTGAAAGCCCAGAGCCCGAACAGTTTTGGAGCCTCCCCAAACTCGCCCCAACAATCGAGGCCACTCGGCCTGGTGCGAACGGCAGGTGGCGGACCGGGCCTCTGAACCTCTCCAAGCGGGGTGTTTCGGTCTTCTGCCAGATCTCCTGAATGCTCAGCGCAAAAGGGCTTTATTCCATGTGGCAGGGGTCGGGGGGTCAGGGGAGTCTGCGCGGTGACCCCAGCCAAAGGCCTTTTCGCGCCAACAGACTTCGATGAGGCCTGGGCCCCCCCTCCCCTTCTTGAATCCCGTCCTTGAACCGTTTCGGGATGTGCGCTTGAAGGTAAGGGGGTTTGGGGCTCCGTGCGTTTTCCATGGTGCAGGGCTGCTTTGCCAGTAGGCTTCCGGGCTCAAAGGGTGTTGAATGTAGAGGCCAGGACTGTGCTGTACTGTCAGGGTCCTGAGGTGTTGCGGAAACGGCCCTTGAAATCCCCGCTCTAAACCTGTCCCCTCAAGTATGGCCGGGTAGCGGCTTGCAACAACCATTCATGATTCCAGGGTAGGTGGGCCACGCGACAGCACCCCTCAACCCTGGATGCTTGGGGAGGATGTCTGGGGCACCTGCTGCAGGCGCACGGCAGCAGGGTTTGGGGAGAGTTTGGCGGGGGTTGAGAGTTCAGGGTCTTTTTGAAAGCTTGAAAGTGTGTTCAGGGCATTTCAGGGCTTGGGAGGGGGGAGAAGGCTTCGATCCCATGAAGAACATCCGAGCTTTGTTTCAAAAGCCACTCTCACATCGTGCCATTTTGTACCCTCGGAGCCCCAAGGCGCCGCCGTCCTGAACACTTTTTCGGAAGTCGAAGGCCTGTACACTCCTTACTAGTAAAGCCATTTGAGGCCCTGAACTCCTGAGCCGCGATTGCCCCGAAGGCCCTCGATGAAGCCCTGCGCCCCGAACTCTCCACTGCAAGCCAAACCCCAAACCCGAACCTCAAGCCCTCAGCCCGAAGCCCGCGCCGATCCAGGAAGTTCTCCATGAATCGCCTTTTGAAGCGATTTCGGAGGAAGCCGCAGGCAGGTGCAAAAGGTGTGAATGACTGAGAGGGAGGGAGAGAGATGAGAGAGAGAGAGGAAAGCCGAGGATCCCCGAATACCGGGGCAAGCGCACAGCCAGGGGGTTCGCCCCTACGCCCCCAAGAAAGAAAGAAAGAAAGAAAGAGAGAGAGAGAGAGAGAGAGAGAGTGACGAAAGAAAGAAAGAAAGAGTGAGTGTGTGAGTGTGTGAGTGAGTGAGTGAGTGAGTGAGTGAGTGAGTGAGTGTAGTGTAGTGTAGTGTAGTGTAGTGTAGTGAGTGAGTGAGTGTAGTGTAGTGAGTGAGTAAGAGTGAGAGTGAGAGTGAGAGTGAGAGTGAGAGTGAGAGTGAGAGTGAGAGTGAGAGTGAGAGTGAGAGTGAGAGTGAGAGTGAGAGTGAGAGTGCGTGTGAGTGTGTGTGAGTGAGTGAGTGTGAGTGAGTGTGAGTGAGTGTGAGTGAGCGTGAGTGTGTGAGTGTGTGATTGTGTGAGTGTGTGTGTGTGTGTGTGTGTGCGGGGACGGGGTTGGTGCTGGGATGTCTTGGGAGATGTTTTTGGGTCGATTCTGCTGAAACTGGCTTGGACATCAGCGGTGTTCGGTCTTGGGGTCCTTGGGCTGGGAGGGCCTCTTTTGGCAATCTGGGATCTGGGAATCTAGGGTTTGGAGGTGCGTCCCAACTTTGTAAGATTGGGGGGTTGTCGGGCTTGAAGTCCTGCATGGACTTCAGGCAACAGGCACAGGGGGGCACCTCTTAGCCGCCTTAGCTGGGCAGTTCTGAGGCAGGAGGGTCTTGGCCCATCGAGAAACCAGCCTGTGCTGGTCCACAGAGTGTTGGGGGGGTTGGGGTTTAGGGGGTTCCACCCCCATCAAGCAATGTCCTGGGAGGCGCTGAAAGACGAGGTCAGCCAGCTGCTCCTTGGAAGCTCTTGAGAGTAAGATTTCGGGCGGAAGTTCGGCAGGGGTAGCCTTGCCCGGCCCTTCAATTGAGCTTGACAACGAAAGCCTGCACCCGCCCTGACCAACGCCCGCCTTAAACCCCCGAGATCCTGACTTCAAGGTTGACCCAGGTGCTGGCCCTGACCGACTACAGAGAGGAGGCCGGATCAGGTTGTTTTCATTGTTCTCGGCGTTGGGCTTGGGCAAGTGCACGTTTTATTGGCGGTGGACTGCTTATGAACAGCCTCGTGTTGTTTAGGCGAAAGGCTCCGAGCAAGGCACTTCTGCATGCCACGCGCGTTGGCTTTCGGGTCTCTGAGGTTTGTTCTTCAACCTCGTGTTTAGTTCCAGAGCTGAGCCGCGCTGCTTCAAGGGTTTAGGGCCGGTGGAGGTTAAAAGGGTCGGACAGCTGTGGGCCCAGCGAAGATAGGTCCGTGGAAAGTCCAAAGTGCTTTCCCCACTTCAGCCTGCCACAGATCTGTGATTCCGCCATGGAGAACGTCGACGCGCTGCTGGAGCGGTCCGAGCTGCCATGTTTCTGCCTGGGGGGCGTTCAGGGCCTGGGCGTGGCGGGTTAGGACGGTTACGGTTAGGGGATACGCCGTGCGGGAGGCCTCCAGGCTTCTACGCTCGGCTGCCCTAAGCACCCTGTCCCCAAAGTGTAGCCTGCTGTCCTGACTGTAGCGGCCTAGTTAGAGGGTTGAAGCTTCTGGCTTTGGGAGGCTCAGGGCCTTGCAAGAGTCCAGGGTTGAGGCTTTGTCTTGTCGGTTTCGACAGCTCTGCTGTGTCTTGAGCCAGGAATCGACGACTGCACATGACCCAGCGCAACTGGAGACCGATCCTGGCGCGCCCCGCTGCGGTACATGGGGTTCAGAGGTTTGGTATTAAAGGGCTTAGCGCGGCGTGTCCACTTGGCGGGTGCTTCGGGTCGTCTGCTGACCCTGGTTCCAATATGGCGGGCGCTCCTTTGTCAAGATAGCCAGCGGCGAGCGCCTTCGTCGCGAGGCTGACCCTATAGACATGTGCGTGCTTCGCGCTTGTTTGTCCCTGCAGCCTCAGCCCGCCCGAGCCCAAAAGGCATCCGACTACACTCGTAGTCTGAACTGAGGAGCAGGGCCATCGGATTCGATTGCAGCTCCGGGACACCCTGAGCCCTAAGCACGACCAAAAGCTCGAAGCCATGAATGCAGAGGGCCGCAAGAGGCTGTCAACCCCAGACCTTCGAAAACACCTAAGCGCTTCAAGCTGCTGAAATGGGCTTCGGGGCCATGTCCTTGGACCAAAGCAGGAGTCCCATGGCCCTTACACCCCAAGTCTCGGACCAACAAGAATCCGCTTGGAGCTCCCCTACTTGCGTACATCGCTCTCTGGAGAGTATAGATTCCCTCTACAGCCTTCCAACCCTCGCAAGCCTACTGGAGAGCGCCCGCAGAGCGCCCGGAAGGGCCCCCCCCGTGTTGTGGCTCCGCTGTCCAGGTCGCCGCTCTGCTCGTCGCCTCCAGACCTCGGAAGGCCGGAGCCTGCAGCCTTCCATTTTTGTTTTGAGTGAGGTCTTCTGCGTTTTTTTGAGGGAGGGGGGGCTTAAAACTTTTTGAGCTTTGGGGACTTTCGAACTTCTTCGACGTGACAGGAGGACGGGATGAGCTCAGATTTCGAGCTGGCATCTCACTCGAGCCAGGGCCCACACGCCCCAAGCAGTACCCAGAGAGGCTAGCAGCGGAGGAAGAAAGGCGGAGGATGGGTGATGATCCCTGGTGTGACTTCAAGAGCTTCGGCTAAGCAGGCGCCGTACACCCTGAATCCCCTGGACGCACAGCCCGCCAATAGTGCAGGGCGGTGCCAATGTAGGTCCCCTATTCAGGATGTAGACTCGTAGACCCTCCGCGCCGGAACCCCGCAACGCCTCAGGGCCTCGAACTCTTCCCCGTCTTCATTCTTCTCAGCCCCGTTTGCCAACGC